GGCTGCGGCTGCCCAAATGGCCAGACTGGATGAAAAGGGCTTAGGGCCCAGGGAGGTCTGCACTCAGTGGGAAAATATCAGCCAGCACCAAATAACTTTCTTCAAGAAAATTTAAACACACACTTGCATGTTTTGAATAAATTTACATGTTGATTGCACTATTCTAGAGTTTTTTTTTTTGAAGAGGAGCCTAATTCCAAATCTGTGAAATCAAATGAGATCTGGTGGTACTTGTCTTGTACTGCAGGGATTTAAAGATACTGGGGAGATGGGCAGTTTTCAGGCTTGTGCTGCAGAGGGATCCAGGGCCCAGAGAGAGTACCTACTCTCCCTACAGCCAAGAGATGTGGCAAAATGCAAATGTGAATGGACCACCACCCAGCTAGACACCTTCCAGTGGCACCTGGTGGCCGGAGGTGAGTCCTGGCAGTGACTGATGGGGGAAGGGCTTCTCTTCTGGTCGCTCAGGCTCCAGTGCCCTGCAAGGGTGCAGCACACGCAGTAGGATCTCACCATATAGCCTTGGGTGGGAGGGTGAGCAATTCTGTAACCCTTTTCCCCGGGACACTGCAGAGGGCCTCTCATGCTCTGGGGAAGCAGAAGCTTGCCCTGCTGGAAGTGGGGAGTCTGAAGTGCCAACTTGTCTTAAGTGAGTGTGGCCTACCGGAGTCCTGCACTGGCAGAGCTGACCAGGCCTTTGTATTCCATCCCTTCAGCTACCAGATGTGGCTGCCCCAGGAAAGAGAGACCAGCAGGGAGGTGGCTCTCTGCAGCTGGCGTAGACCCTGTAGGAGCTGGCAGCTGGAAGCTGGGCAGGAAGACCTTCCTTGAATGGGCACTTGAGGGGCACATCTCTGTGTCCACCGTAATAGTCCACTGTCCTCACCATAAGCCAGGGTGATCTTCTCAAAGCTAGACCCTGACCACTGGTTGGCACTCCTAGGCCTGCCCTGGGCCTCTTTCCCACCCCAGCCTCACAAGAATGGCATGAACCCTAGCAGTTTCAGGGGCTGGGAGTTCTGCCTCTGACCACGGACTCCCCACTGCACCGAGACACAGGCCAGATCCGAGCTTGCGAGATGCGGGGAAGGCTGAATGCACGCCCTGCAGATATTCTGCAGGAAGATCCCACTACCATCGCGACGGCCAGCCTCTCTCCGGCCTGCTTTCCCCTCTCCCACTTGGTGTTTGTGATGCAGGTTCCGGGAGCGCAGGTATGGGGGCCTCTGCACCCTTTTCGGCAGTCCTGGGAGCTCCCCCAACATTGCTTTCCTGCGAGTTCCAGCTGTTTCGCGTCCAGGGGCGGTTGGAACCTGACGTCCGTCTTCCCGGACTGGGGACCCGCGCCAGAGAGCCTCCTGACCTGGGAGCCCTCTTTATGCACCGAGGCAGGGGCGTGTGGGTGACCACGTGGGTGACCACTTGGGTGTCGGCCTGCGGCTAGCACAGGCCTAGCCCGCGCGCGGCCTTGCGGGCGTAGGCCACGCGGGGAGCCAGGGAGGGAGCGGCGCCGCTGGCCCC